AGGCACTGGTATGTCTAGCACTGGTATTAAAGAAAATATTTCATATAACTGTTTTGTTAACTATGTATAAAATTTAACTGATTATAAAAATTTTAACAATATATATATACTGTATAATCAAGTTATACTATACAATAGTATAAATAGACTAATATTATACTTAAATAATAGTATAATTAATTTATATTATTAAAAATTGTATCAAAATATGCTTAATAATAGTTTAATGTTTTTCTTTAATTGATTTATTTAAAGTCATTTGTTTTTGTTTTATAACTTTTATTTTGCTATTAATTTATAATTTTGTAATTCATATGAGTTTACATTAATTATTGAATTAAACATTAAATTTTTTGATATCTCATTGTTATTTTAGTTATTACAACAATATAAAACACTGTTAATTAGAAATTATATATATATTTTTGAATTAATATTTAAATCAATCAAACAATTTAATCTATTGTACAAAACATCCTAATGTTTAATATTTCCTAAAATTTTTTCTATTTATATAAAATCTAATATTAAAAATAAAATAATAATAAATAAATAAACTGAGTTTTAATATAAACAAATAGCTTATATTTACAAAATAAAAAATAAACCATCTGAGAATGCTTTAAAAGCATTTCCACACGAATTCCTTAACTTAAAAAGGAAAAAAAATTTTTAAAAATAAAAAAACAAGTTGAAAATGCTTCAAAAGCATTCTCATACGATCTCCTTAACTTAAAAAAGAAAAAAACCAAAAAAAATCAAAAAAAATTTTGTAGCTGAGCCTGGATTCGAACCTATGTCCTCGTGGGACAGACAGACAGACGGACAGACGGACAGACTTTTAGAATGCATATACGTATTCCTTTCAGGAATTCGTGAAAAACTAGTTAAATACTGAAATAAATAATTAATTAAATGAATATAACATTATTTATATTTAATATATATATTTGTATGTAATAAAACAATAAATGTTTAATTTAAAAAAATATTTTTAAACATAAAAATTATGATTTATTTATTAATTAATGCAAAATATGATTTTAAAAAATAATAATGAAAAAATAATATATTAATAAAAATATTATATATGTAGAGTTCGGGCACAAACAACAAGTGAGGAAAGTTTCCTACAGAAATATTCTACAATTTTTCTGAATAATTATTGATAATTTATTTATTTTTTTAACCCGTTATAAAACAAAGTATACATAAAACTTTGGGCAAAACTTTTAAATATAACGTCAAAAACATATTTTATTTATGATAGCATTTATATACATAAAATATATTAATTATTGAAAAAATTATTTTTGTTAAAATATCAAGAATTTATTGATTCAACATTCATTACAATGATTTGACAAAAAAAACAAAATTGATTTCAAATTATTAAATAATAAACAATTTTATGTTAAAAATAAAATAATTATCAATTATTTTGTTTTCTTATAATAATTTTTTTTTAAAAAAAATTATGAGTTTTTCTCATCCACTTTGAAGACAACCTATTAGATTAGTATTAGAAACAAACAAATAAATATTAAAATATAAAGTATTATTTAAAAAAAAAAAATTAAAAATCAATCAAACAATTGTATACCGATTTGATTTCGAGATACTCGTGTAGACCGTCTTCGCCAAACTCGCGGCCAAATCCCGATTGTTTGTAACCGCCAAACGGTGTCTGCGGTTTGACCGCCAAAAACGTATTGATCCAAACGTTTCCCGATTCAAGCGACTGAAACAGTTTCAGTGCTTTATTGACATCGTTGGTAAATGCACCGGCAGCCAAACCGTAGGTCGTATCGTTAGCCCTATCGACCACTTCATCCAATGTTTTGAACTTCAATATAGACTGAACCGGTCCGAAGATTTCCTCCTTGGCTATGGTATGGCTGTCCTTTACATCAGCAAAACTATATATATATATATATAAGTAGTCATACAATTAGTACAGTTTAATATATTAAGTGGTCATATAATATATAATCCAGTAATCATTACACAGTTGGCTCGACATAGTAACCCCGGGTACCCCATCGTTTGCCACCGGCCAACAGTTTTGCACCCTCCTGGACACCGGTATCAATCAGTTTAAGTACTTTAGCAAATTGTTTGTCATCGATTTGCGGTCCCTGTTGTGTAGTCGTCTCGTATGGATCGCCAAGTTGACGTTTTTTGGCCAATTCTACCGATTTTTCAACAAACTTATCGTAGATGGTGTCCTGGACAAACAAACGGGTGGCCGCACAACATGTCTGTCCCTGATTAACAAACACTGTTTCGTGCTATAGATATACAAAACCAACAAATTATTTTATATACTGTACTGTATATGCGAGGAACGGCATGTTATTTATACTACTGACCGCTACGACGACGGCCTCATCAATGTTTGCGTCGTCGAAGACAATGAGCGGCGATTTGCCGCCCGTTTCCAGTGTCACTCGTTTGCCGTTTGATTTGCCAGAAGCTATCTGAATAAGTTTGCCGACTTCGGTCGATCCGGTAAAAGCTATTTTGTCGACATCCAGATGCTCGGACAGGGCGGCACCGGCTGTATGGCCATAACCGGGAACAACGTTGACTACGCCCGGCGGAAAACCGGCTTCTTTGACCAAATTGGCTACATATAGGGCCGTCAATGGTGTCTATAGTATATATATACGATAAACAAATATATAAGTAAAGTATTTAAATATTTAAAAAAAATTTAAATACCTGTTCGGCGGGTTTGACAACAACAACGTTACCGGTAGCCAATGCGGGTCCCAATTTGCCGGCCAATAAAAATAACGGGTAATTCCACTAGAAATTTAACCCAAAAAAAATCAAAATTAAAGATTCAAATTCAATAATCTATTAGTTTTTTTTTGATGATATATATGACACTTACGGGTATGATTTGACCGCAAACACCGATTGGCTCGACTCGGGTAAAGGCAAATACTTGGCCATCGGCTGGTATTACTTTGCCGTGTACTTTATCAGGCCAACCAGCATAGTATCGGAGCAGTCCCAGACCACCCCGAATCTCGTGGACAGCTCTTTTATAGGGCATTCCATTGTCCAGTGTTTCCAATGAGGCTAAATAGTCGACATCTCTTTCGATAAGATCGGCCAATCGGTTCAACAGTCGTCCTCTTTCTGAGGCATCGATTGTACGCCAAACGGATCCCTAAGCAAAACATCAAAAACAAAATGATATATTTATTGAAATACAATTTCAATCACTGTTTCAATTACAACAAACTACTAACCCGTTTGAAGGCCAGTCGGGCGGCTTTAACAGCCTTATCGATGTCGGCTTTGTCGCCCTCCTGTACCCGAGTGATCACTTTACCAGTCACTGGGTTTATCGTTTCAAATGTTTTACCGCTAACCGAGTTAACCCATTCATTGTTGATGAAGATCTTGAAGTAAAAAAAATATTATTATTAATAATTTTTTAATATATTTTATTTTTTCTATATACATATAGACATATAATAAAATTTCAATACATTATATACAGTATAGCCAAGTTAAAAATCTTATAGTATATTATGCTAACTCATTATATTAGTATAAAATTATAAAAAGTAATAATAATAAGTAATTACAAATATATAAAAAAATTTAAATTAAATTATTATTATTATTAATTAATTAATATTATATTTAAATATTTACTTACCTGGGTATATTTGATTTCCGGATTACGATTGACGGCCATTATTTATTTATCTAAAAATTATTTAATATTATTTAATTTATTTTTTAAATATATATCAATATAATTGTAATGAAATGTTTAACCACAAACTCTTGATATTAGTATTTTTTGTCTAAACACAGGCACTGGTATGTCTAGCACTGGTATTAAAGAAAATATTTCATATAACTGTTTTGTTAACTATGTATAAAATTTAACTGATTATAAAAATTTTAACAATATATATATACTGTATAATCAAGTTATACTATACAATAGTATAAATAGACTAATATTATACTTAAATAATAGTATAATTAATTTATATTATTAAAAATTATATCAAAATATGCTTAATAATAGTTTAATGTTTTTCTTTAATTGATTTATTTAAAGTCATCATTTGTTTTGTTTTATAACTTTTATTTTGCTATTAATTTATAATTTTGTAATTCATATGAGTTTACATTAATTATTGAATTAAACATTAAATTTTTTTATATCTCATTGTTATTTTAGTTATTACAACAATATAAAACACTGTTAATTAGAAATTATATATATATTTTTGAATTAATATTTAAATCAATCAAACAATTTAATCTATTGTACAAAACATCCTAATGTTTAATATTTCCTAAAATTTTTTCTATTTATATAAAATCTAATATTAAAAATAAAATAATAATAAATAAATAAACTGAGTTTTAATATAAACAAATAGCTTATATTTACAAAATAAAAAATAAAATCTGAGAATGCTTTAAAAGCATTTCCACACGATTCCTTAACTTAAAAAGGAAAAAAAATTTTTAAAAATAAAAAAACAAGTTAAAATTAAATGAATATCAAAAAAAATTTTGTAGCATTATTTATTTTAGAATTATAATATATATATTTAAATAATTAATTAAATGAATATAACATTATTTATATTTAATATATATATTTGTATGTAATAAAACAATAAATGTTTAATTTAAAAAAATATTTTTAAACATAAAAAATTATGATTTATTTATTAATTAATGCAAAATATGATTTTAAAAAATAATATATTAATAAAAATATTATATATGTAGAGTTCGGGCATCAACAACAAGTGAGGAAAGTTTCCTACAGAAATATTCTACAATTTTCCTGAAAAATTATTGATAATTTATTTATTTTTTTTAACCCGTTATAAAACAAATTATACATAAAACTTTGGGCAAAACTTTTAAATATAAAGTCAAAAACATATTTTATTTATGATAGCATTTATATACATAAAATATATTAATAATTGAAAAAATTATTTTTGTTAAAATATCAAGAATTTATTGATTCACCATTCATTACAATGATTTGACAAAAAAAACAAAATTGATTTCAAATTATTAAATAATAAACAATTTTATGTTAAAAATAAAATAATTATCAATTATTTTGTTTTCTGATAATTTTTTTTTTAAATTACGAGTTTTTCTCATCCACTTTGAAGACAACCTATTAGATTAGTATTAGAAACAAACAAATAAATATTAAAATATAAACTAATAATTAAAAAAAATAATAATAAAAATCAATCAAACAATTGTATACCGATTTGATTTCGAGATACTCGTGTAGTCCGTCTTCGCCAAACTCGCGGCCAAAACCCGATTGTTTGTAACCGCCAAACGGTGTCTGCGGTTTGACCGCCAAAAACGTATTGATCCAAACGTTTCCCGATTCAAGCGACTGAAACAGTTTCAATGCTTTGTTGACATCATTGGTAAATGCACCGGCAGCCAAACCGTAGGTCGTATCGTTGGCTCTATCGACCACTTCATCCAATGTTTTAAACTTCAATATGGACTGAACCGGTCCGAAGATTTCCTCCTTGGCTATGGTATGGCTGTCCTTTACGTCAGCAAAACTATATATAAGTAGTCATACAATCATACAATTAGTACAGTTTAATATATCGAGTGGTCATATAATATATAATCCAGTAATCATTACACAGTTGGCTCGACATAGTAACCCCGGGTACCCCATCGTTTGCCACCGGCCAACAGTTTTGCACCCTCCTGGACACCGGTATCAATCAGTTTAAGTACTTTAGCAAATTGTTTGTCATCGATTTGCGGTCCCTGTTGTGTAGTCGACTCGTATGGATCGCCCAGTTGTCGTTTTTTGGCCAACTCTACCGATTTTTCGACAAACTTATCGTAGATGGTGTCCTGGACAAACAAACGGGTGGCCGCACAACATGTCTGTCCTTGGTTAACAAACACTGTTTCGTGCTATAGATATACAAAACCAACAAATTATTTTATATACTGTACTCTATATGAGAGGAACTGTATGTTATTTATACTACTGACCGCTACGAGTACGGCCTCATCGATGTTGGCGTCGTCAAAGACAATGAGCGGCGATTTGCCGCCCGTTTCCAGTGTCACTCGTTTGCCGTTTGATTTGCCAGAAGCTATCTGAATAAGTTTGCCGACTTCGGTCGATCCGGTAAAAGCTATTTTGTCGACATCCAGATGCTCGGACAGGGCGGCACCGGCTGTATGGCCATAACCGGGGACAACGTTGACTACGCCAGGCGGGAAACCGGCCTCTTTGACCAAATTGGCTACATATAGGGCCGTCAATGGTGTCTATAGTATATATATACGAGAAACAAATACAGTATATAAGTAAAGTATCTAAATATTTAAAAAAAAATTTAAATACCTGTTCGGCGGGTTTGACAACAACAACGTTACCGGTGGCCAATGCGGGTCCCAATTTGCCGGCCAATAAAAATACCGGGAAATTCCACTAGAAATATAACCAAAATCAAAAAATCAAATAAAAATAAATTTCTAATGCTATATCATTATATATTTATATGATATATATATGACACTTACGGGTATGATTTGACCGCAAACACCAATTGGCTCGACTCGGGTAAAGGCAAATACTTGGCCATCGGCCGGTACTACTTTGCCGTGTACTTTATCAGCCCAACCGGCATAGTATCGGAGCTGTCCCAGAGCACCCTGAATGTCGCCGACAGCATTTGTATAGGGCTTTCCATTGTCCAGTGTCTCCAATGAGGCTAAATAGTCGGCATCTCTTTCGATAAGATCGGCCAATCGGTACAACAGTCGTCCTCTTTCTGAGGCATCGATAGTACGCCAAACGGATCCCTAATTAAAATAAATAAAACAAAATGATATATGTATTGAAATTTGAAGACTATTTCAATCACAACAACAACGACAACAACAACAAACTACTAACCCTTTTRAAGGCCAGTCGGGCGGCTTTGACAGCCTTTTCGATGTCGGCTTTGTCGCCCTCCTGGACCYGAGTGATCACTTCGCCRGTCACCGGGTTTACCGTTTCAAATGTTTTACCGCTAACCGAGTTAACCCATTCATTGTTGATGAAGATCTTTAGAGTATAAAAATATTTATCAATATTTTTTAAAAATAACATAATATATGATAAAATTTCAAAAAAAATTTAATTTTTTAAACATTAAATACAATATAGTTATTTAAATCATTGTATATTTAAATGCAAAATCATTATATTWAGTATTATATAATTAATAATAAATAACAATAAGTAATTACTAATATATTTAAAAATACAATTAAAATTTAATTATTAATTAATAAATATTATTTAATTTAAATATTTTATTACCTGGGTATATTTGATTTCTGGATTACGATTGACGGCCATTATTTATTTAACTAAAAAAATATTTTATTATATTATAATATTTTTTCTTTTAAAAATATAAAATATATTATAATTGTAATGAAATGTTAAACACAATAAACTCTTGCTATTATTATTTTTTTATCTACAGTATGTTTAAACAAACTACTGGCACTGGTATGTCTAGCACTGGTATTTAAATACAAATGTGCCTCTTTATATACCGGTGTATATAACGATTATAACTGATTATAAAAATTTTTTTTAACAATGTAATCAAGTTGTACTGTATATAATAGTAACTATTATTAGTAGTAGTATTAGTATTATTATAAATATTATCTCAAAATATGCTTTAAAATAAAAAGTTTAATGTTTAACATAAAAATTTTTTTTGTATCAATTGATAGCTATTTTTTGTTGTTTTTCAATTTGTTTTTTTCTAATCATTTATACAGTAACTTAATAATTGATATTAGTTTACATTAATATCTATAATATCATACATTAATTTTTTTATTTTTTTTAAGTATAAAGCACTGACCAAGGTCATTAAATATCATATTAATCATAATTTAATCAATTGAACAAATCTTATAATATTTTTATACATTTCCTAAAATACTAATTCATAATAATTTTTTTTTACATAATATTAAATTATAATAATTATAAATAAATAGTTATACAGTTTTTTTATTACTATATACAGGATATAAGTTTAAAGTTTAATTTTTTTTAATTTATCAAGATACTTACATTAATTTTTGTTTGTTTGTAATTATCACAATTTAACTACAAAAATGGATATTTATAATTAATTTTTATTTAAATGTTTTATTTAATTAATAAATTTAATTAAGTAATTTATTAAATAAAATATGTTATTACATATGTTACATAATGTTATTACATTTTATTATTTTGAATTTATTAAATTTTTTTTATATATTTTATAAATTTTATATTATAAATAAGTGATTATATTTTATATAATATACAATATTTTAGTAAATAAAATAAATTGAAATATTTTAAATTATAATTTATAGTATAATAATAATTATAATTATTATTATTAATTATTAATTATTATTAGTTTATATTAAGGTCATATTTAGTACAATATCTGCAATATTGTCTAATATTACATTAAATAATATATAATATTTATTTCATTGAAAATGTACTTTTATAAATTATAGTTTATAATTATTGAAAAAAATAAATCATTTTTTTCTTATTATGCAACTTTTGTTATATATATATATATTATATTATCATTTATTTGATGATATAAAAWWWTTTTTTCAGATAATGTACTTTAAGTAGTGTTGGCAAAAAAAATATAGAAATTTATAAAAAATAATAAAGAAATTTCTAGAAAGTTTCTATTTAAAAAAAATTCTATTATATCTATGGAATGCCCATGGTTAATTTAGTTTTCTCTATATTTGTTATCATGTAACATTTGTTTTGTAACAAGTAATAATTAAATATTATTAGTAGTATTACTATTTTAAAAATAGATGAATAAAATTTTTACAAAACTTATTTTTATTTAATAATTACAATTATTTATAATATGGATCCCATTTGTATAATAATGTAATTACATTATATAGCATAATATTATATGTGTCTCATTAATATATTTATAGTTATAATTATAATATAGCTATATAGGGATCTCATAGTATAACAATAAATTTTCTAGAAACTTTTTATGGAAAATCTATTAGGAAATTTTCTATTTGTCCATATCTATGTACTTAATGTAATAGTAACATATTTTATTTTGACATAATTTATTCATAATAAAGTCTAAATAAATCTAAATCTAAAGTTTATAAGTGTGAATAAACTAATAAAATTTTARAGATATCTTTTTTTTTGTTAAAAATTWTTAATTTTTAATATAAACAACGTTTTTTTAATTGTCTAGACATATACCATCAAAAAAATCAAATGTAAAACAAAATTATTTAATTTTATTTAATTCAATATAATATTATTTATATCGTATATTATTAATTAATATTATTATTTAGCAAATATATAGTTAATATCAGCAAAAAAAAATGATTTTTATAATTATGTATATTTACTATAATTATAAATATATAATTATTTAGTTATTCACTATAAAAAGTTTACTAATTAATATTGTTTTATACTATTAATAATTTAATTAATTATTTTCTACAATAATTTCTAATTTGAAATTCAAATTTAATTATTGAAATTTTGAATAATGTTTACAAAATTATTTTTAACGTCACTTATTGTATATAAATTTATATATATATATATATATATATATATAATATGTATATATATTAATCAATTACTATTTATATATAAATTTAACAATAAAATTAAAATTTTTAGTATACAATTTTTGCATAAAATATAGTTTATTTTTTTATTTTTAATTCAATTCAATACATATAATATATTCAGTTTTCCTCTATGACAGACAAAATTAATTATTATTTAACCACAAAAAAAACTATTGCAAATTATTTTTGTTACCGGTAAGTTAAAAAAAAAATTAAAAATTAAAATCTACAAACAAACCAAAAATTATTAATTATTAAATTTTAGTTTTAACTATAATATCCTGTATATTATATGTATGTATTTATATCTAATATTAGATTTATATTTACTGTATATATAAAAGAAAAAAATATTTGTTTATAATTAACTAAAATTTTGTAAAAAAATTGTGAATTGATTATTCCCATTGTCCAACATTATAGCCAAACACATCCGATAACTGGCAGTTCCTCTTTAAAATAAAAACATAACTACCAGTCCCTCCTCCTCTATCTATCGTAAGTTTTTTTCTATGAATGTTTGTGTGGATTATTGATAACAACCTGCAAAACAAAAAAATATATGTAAATAAATACAGTATATTATACAGTAATCTGTAAGCTAACTGTCTCTCTCTCTCTCTCTCTCTCTCTCTCTCTCTCTCTCTCTCTCTCTCTCTMTCTATCTATCTATCTCTCATCTTCTATATATATATATATATATATATATATATATATATATATATCTATCTATCTATCTCTCATTTGACTTCCAGATACTCGTGTAGGCCGTCCTCGCCGTTTTCGCGGCCAAAACCCGATTCCTTGAAACCGCCAAACGGTGTCTGCGGTCCCAGCGCTAGAAACGTATTGATCCAAACCGAACCCGCCTGAACCTGTTGGGCAAAACGTATGGCCCGATCGATRTCCCGAGTAAAACAACCGGCCGCCAGACCATAGTTGGTATTATTGCATCGTTCAATAACTTCGTCGAAAGTGGAAAACTTGAACAACGACTGAACCGGTCCGAAGATTTCCTCAGTGGCTATAGTCATGTCGTCGGTAACGTTACTGAAACTGTTTTTTTTTTTTTTATAAAAGGAAAGATCATTAGCACCGGTAGCTATAAATAACCCCCCACTTTTCACTTACACAGTTGGCTGAATAAAATAGCCTTTACTACCGCAMCGTTGGCCACCGGTCAACAAGTTGGCACCCTGTTTGCGTCCAGTGTCGATCAATGCCAGAATCTTGTTGAACTGTTCCTCGTCCACTTGCGGTCCCTGTTGGGTGGTCAGGTCAGTCGGGTCGCCGACCACTCGTTTTTTGGCCAATTCGACCGATCGCTGGACAAACTTGTCGTAGATGGAGTCGTGGACAAAGATACGGGATGAGGCACAGCAACACTGGCCCTGATTGATGAATACACCGGCATGCTAAACGGTGTGGGTGTGTGTGTGTGTGTCCATCAATATGGTATATCAGTGGGGGACAGTTGGTTATTTAAAAAAAATTAGTACAGATTATTAGTATATGTGTCTATATGTTATGTAGTGTATGTATGTGTTTGTTTGTTAGTGTGTGTATCTATTAATTACAATTTATATACAACTATCCTATTATTTATTATTATTATTATAAAGTATATATAATATTGAAATATTATATTAAATTAATTAAAGTTTTTAAAAATGTGTGTTTAAAATGTATATTTCATATTAATAGCTACAGCTATAGTAATATATGGGGTGAATATCAGTCAATAGATATACTGTGTGTATATATATACTAATATATTTAATTTTTTTAAATTTTTTTAGATAAATAGCTGGTTTGGGTACACTGATATATTAAATATATTGATATATAAAATAAAGTATTTAATATGTTTATGCTATGCTATTACAAATTGTAATTTACAATTATATCAATATATTAATTTTTTTGTGATACAGTAATATAAACTTTGAAACTATGATACCAAACTTTAAAAAAAATAAAAAGCACTCATTGTTTTAATTTTAATTAAACTATTTTTTTTCTAGTCATGATATTTTCATTAACATAAAGAAAATAATATCTGTTTTTTGTTTGTTTGATTGATTGATTTATCAGCAATTTTTTTTTTAAAAAAATTTAGTTAAAAAATCTATATTTTTTCCCATTAATTCAATGAAAATCACTGATTAAAAAAAACTGATTTTTTTGAACTGATTTTACTAATAAAACTAATATATAGAAAATAATTATTAATAAATAATAATTTTGTTTTTCAAATAAATTTTTTAAAAAACGATTACTAAATAAGTATGCAATACATATATGTTGTTAAAAAACAAAATACTAAATATGTACTCATATTTTAGGTGTGTTTGGGATCAGGATATCTGGGCAATGGATATATAGATAGATAGATAGGCCCCCCCATTCACTTACCGCTGTCAGTACGGCCGCATCGATGTCCGCGTCCTCGAAGATAACAAGCGGCGATTTGCCGCCCATTTCCAGTGTCACCCGTTTAGTATTGCTTCGGCCGGCACTGGCCTGTATGATACGGCCGACTTCAGTCGATCCGGTAAAGGCTACTTTGTCTACACTACGATGTTCAACGAGTGCAGCACCGGCAGTCGGTCCATAACCAGGTACAACATTGACCACACCGGGCGGAAAACCGGCCTCTTTCACCAAACTGGCCAAATATAGTGCCGATAATGGTGTCTAATATTCATATTGTGGGCGAAAAACACATAACAATTAGAGTATATATGTGTGTATATAGAGGGAGGGGTTGGTATCGATAACCTAACGCAACCATAACATACCTGTTCGGCTGGTTTGACAATACACACGTTACCAGTGGTCAATGCGGGACCGATTTTCCAGGCCATCATAAATAGCGGAAAATTCCACTGTATTTATTATATCAATAATATTTTTTTATTAGAGCACAGGTAGCATAAAAATTAATAAATACTGTGTGTGTGTATCGATTTTTCATACCGGTATGATTTGTCCGCACACACCGATCGGTTCACTTCGGGTAAATGCCAAAAACGGACCGTCAGCTGGTATAACTTTACCGTGAATTTTATCAGCCCAGCCGGCATAGTAGCGCAATGAGGCAATGGCCGCATTCATGTCCCATAGGGCATCCTTAAACGGCTTTCCATTATCAAGTGTTTCCAACGAAGCCAAATAGTCGATGTCTCGTTCAAGTAGATCGGCTAACTTGAAGATTAGTCGACCTCTTTCGGAGGCATCAATGGTACGCCATTTGGAGTTCTGGTATTATAATTAGTTAGAAGGGAAAGGGATGTATATTAGAAACACCCATTTGCAGCCAATTACAATCGACTCAATGACACCTACCAGTGCAAAGGCCTGTCGGGCAGCTTTGATGGCCTTTTCGATGTCGGCTTTGTCGCCCTCCTGKACCCGAGTAATCACTTCGCCGGTCACCGGGTTTACCGTTTCAAATGTTTTRCCGCTAACCGAGTTAACCCATTCATTGTTGATGAAGAGCTAGTTAGGGGGGGGGTTAACAAAAAAATAATTGATTTTTAAAAAAATATGATATTTGTTTTTAATAGACCATAGATTAAAAAAATTTGAGATACAAATTAATCACTACTTTAGTTTATAAAATAGTTTTATAGAAATTATTTATTTTTTATACATAAAAAATTAGTCTAATTATTCACTTAATAATTATTTATTATTATTATTATTAAAYTAATAATTAATTTTTTATATACTGTATATACAGTACTACTTATATATATATATTTAATAAATTTTAGTAAACAAAAAATTATATATTTATGATTATCTTATAGCAAACAAAATAAAATTATGTAATCAACATATTATTATAATTGTACTGTATTATCTATATTATTAATATAAAATCAATTTATGTTAGGTGGTGGGGGGACAGGGATTGCCTACACTACCAAGTWTTAGCAGTATTTGCAAAAAAAATTAAACACATATTTTTAGTTAAGTTGTCCTTCAAAAAAAAATAATAATAAATTTGAAAACAATACATACAATACATGTTTTCAGATATTATATATTTATATATTGATCATAAAAAATCTAAACTAAAATTATATATATAAAAACAAGCATTTATTATAAATTAAATTAAATAATATGAAACTTTAAAATAATAAATTAAAATAATATTATTAAAATAGTATTATAAWTATATATATATATATATATGTTTTAAATACCTGAGTATATTTGACTTCTGGATTTTTGATAACCATTATTATTATTATTATTACTAATATAAACTAAATAAAAATTATTATTTAATTAATATAWTTATTAGCCAACAAAAAAAAACGTTTATGTCTTTCAATTATAGCTACAATTAAACTATAATTATAATAATAATAACAATGTATACTAACCACTATCTAGCAATATATCTAACAAAACAAATTAGTTTTGTAAAAAATTTTTTAGTATGGGAACTGGGAGTTTAAACTGATACTATATGTTTGTTGTTAGCCCTGTTGAGCACTGGTAGCCGACAACAACAACAAAAATAACAACTAGTTTTARCTAGAATTTATTGAACACTAATTTTTTTTTGTTAAAATATTTTCTTTTAAAAGGGAACTGGAATATATAGTTTAGTATAGTATATAAAACAGTCGACTAATTTATTATATTATATATATATAGACTCTTCCTAACCATATGTACAGTACATATGCTATATATATATATATACTGAAACTTTTAGTGACATTGAAACTCTCTCTCTCTCTCTCTCTCTCTCTCTCTCTCTCTCTCTCTCTCTCTCTCTCTCTCTCTCTCTCTCTAAAAAATAGTAGACAAATTGTTAACATTTATGTTTGAACAGTGACTAATAAAAAAATTTATCAATGTTACTTTACCAATATTTTATTAATTGAATTAATTAATTATTAACTATTAATTAAAAACAAAAACTAATTGTATTGTACAATACATTTATACAGTATATGAATTATTAATATATTTCTAAATGAAATACTGTATATAAATTACACAAATTATACAATCATATAATGTATATATAGTTTTATAATAGGATTTTAAGTTTAGAATATTTTTTATTATTAGGTATATATTGTTTAGTAGATATAAATTTGTTTAATAAATTAAAATTATTATATAATTAATAATAATAATAATAATACAAATTATAGAATTATATACATTAATACTATCTCTATTATTGTTGTTAATTTATGTTATATGTATTATTAATATTATTATAAATATTAATAAATTTTGATATATATTCAAAAAAAAAAAAAAACTTGAAAAAGTTTTGTTTTCTGAAATCTATACGAGCCTTTTGGTCTGTGTGTGTGTAACATTACATTTTGCGAATTTTGAAATTCTGACTTCAGATTCGGTTAGAGGACTACTAATAATCTATTGAAAAGTTTAATTAAAATTTTGATATCTCTTCGGGAACTTAGACAAAATGGCGGCCAAAGTAAAAAAATTAAGTAAAAATTTTAACGTTTAGAATTGTAAAGAGCATCAAAAATATGATATAATACAATATATCAGTATAATTTCTTTTAAAATGGCGGCAAAAGTATAAAAAAATTTAAGAAATTTTTTTTAAGTATAGATTTGAATAAAGCATCAAAAACAAGGATAAAAATATGCATTAAAATTTTGATATCTAAGGAACAAAAAGAATAATAAAGTATAAGCGGCAAAAGTATAATTATAGATGATTATTTTGTTATACTAAATCATTTGATACCACACATGAGTAGTTATTTTGTAAAACCGAGTCATTTGATACCCTACATGACTAAAGTTAAGTTTATTTTGTCATACTGAATCATTTGATACCATACATGACAATATTTATATTATGTATATTTGACCAGTTTTTAAATTTTTATATGTTACTATATATAGACGCTATAATTATACAAACTATTGGTTTTCAATGCTATTCAAGTTTTTTTTTGTGAAAATGCTTTCTAGCATTCTTAACTGGTTTTTTTATGTGATACATGGATTTATTTATTTTTTATTTATTTAATTGTATTTATGTTTTATTATTATTATTATCTATAAATTATGAATTTATAGATAATAAATAGACATCTCTATAGTCCGGGAGAGAGAGAGAGAGAGAGAGAGAGAATTGTCATCAGGAGATACATACAGATGACTATACATGTTGTGATGTCTGTTTTTTTTTGGGAGGGGAGGGTATTAGCCTTGTTTTTTACATAACTATTCACTACATAACTACTACATTATAATAATTTATATTATTATTATTAGTATTAATAGTAATTTTTTTGTCGTCAATTTTTTAAATTTAATAAACTTTTTTTTTATAAATATATCGTAATTAATTAATTCAAACTAATTTATAATTGATTTATTTTATAATTTATATTTATCTGTAATTTTTATTTGYTATATATATTTATTCATTTTGTTTTCTATTTTTTTAAAAATGTAGTTTTGAATTAAATATAATATTWWTTATTTAGTAAAAATWWATTTTTTAATTGTCTATCATAATATATTWATAAAAAATCATATAATTATACAATTTGATTAAAATTTTWAATATTAGATTATCTAATTAATTAATTAATTTTTTTAATTAAAAATGATTATGATTAAATTTAATAATTACATGTAGTTATTGTAGTATTGCAAAAATATTAGGTAGTAATAAATTTTTTTAGAAATTATTATTTTTATTATCTTTTATATAAAAATTAATTATTAATAAATTAATAATAATTTTTTTTTATAATTTATAATTAACTTTAACAATCTACTTGATTGAATAATAATAATAATAATAATTAATAATACTAGAAATTAGTGAAATTATACATTTAAATAAATAAGTTTAAACCTAATATTTTTGTACTTTTTTTATTATCCACATATTGTCTTAATTGATGATTGTAATTGATTAATATTATGCAATTAAAAATCATAACTAAAATATAATAAATTAAATAAAAAAAATTAAATAATTTACGTACAATTGAAAGTGAAATTGATTACAATTGTCTTAATAATTTAATGTGACTTTATTTCCCATAATAATCTTTATTAAGTATTTTTTATAAAATGTACCTATCATAAATTATCAAAAAAAATACATAATAATAATAATAATAATAATACCTAATATTATAAATAATTGCAGTACTAATCAGATAACTTATTATATTATTATGTAATAAGAGTGAAATGCATTTATTTTTATTTTTGTTAYATAATGTATAACAGTATAACAATTATACGATWAAAATRAGTACTAAAAAAATATACTAAATATTATATTATTATCATATATATTATAATTTATAAATATACAGTAGTAATTAACTATTACATACATAATTAATATAGGGATAAATTAAATGTACTTAAAAAAATTTTTATATAAAGTTCATTATTAAGTTTGTTTAGTACTTTAATAATAATAAACAGTTTTAAAAAGTAGATTATTATTATTACTATTACTATAATTTTATTAATAATGAAAATTTATTTTTAATTATAATTTATAAAATAAATATAAATTGTAAATAGTTAAATTATTTTTTTAAATAGTTTAACATTATTATTATATAACAAAAAATATTGAAATATTAATGTATTACAAGTGTTATAATAGTAATAATAATTTCAATATTTTGTTATACAACAATACTGTTAAACTATTTAAAAAATAATTTAACTAATCACAATTAAAATTATAAATATAATATAATAGTTTATAAATTTGAATAAATTTGATAAATTTTTAGTTAAAAAATCTAATTTTAAACAAAGAAAATAACTTATAATAAAAATAATTATAAAAAGTAATAAAATAATTATTTTAAATATATTTATACAGAAATTATGGAAAGAATTTTTTTTGTTAAATATAGTTTATTTAGACAAAAACAAAAAATAAAATTGAATTAAAATTTTGATTTAAAAAATCAATTTGTTATATATTTCAATTCAATCGATTATCTCAATTATATTTAACATATACATAGTTATCATTAATAATCAAATRTTAACATTGATATAATTATTGACAGCTTTTTTACAATTTTAAATTAAATATTTTAAACATATTTATCACTCACTCACTCACTCACACACACACACACACACACACACACACACACACACTCACTCACTAAAACATGTACACTATATTGGCTATAATTCAAGTACAAATTAATTAATTTATAATTTAAAAAAAATTATGATACCATCAAATATTGATGCATTAGCATCTACTGTATACTGTATGTATATATAAAAATTATTATTTTATTATTTATATTTATTACACAATTTTCAAGTTCAAATTAAGTAATCAAAAAATAAGTTAAACAATATTGAAAATTATTACTTTTTTTATTATCAATATATAAATATATATTATTTATATAAATTTTAAAAAACATTTTTGCTAATACTTGAAAACAGTTATTATTTATTATATATTTTATTTTTAAAAAATCATAGCTTAACCCAACAATATGGTAAACGCCTGGTATATAGACGATAGCCTACGGGAACCGTTAGATGAATCGGTCAAACGYAGTGACCGTCATCTGAATCCACCCGAGTATCTAACACTGGATGAACTTCGTAGGAAAACTGGTGTTACCATTGAAACAGTATGTAGAAGATAAAGTAGTCATAGATTTTTACTTAACTGTCCCCTATATATATATATACAGTATATATATATATATTTAAAAAAAACTAYCAGAATATTCTATAAAAAAATAATATAATTTTTTTAATTTATTTATTACCACCCAACCCTACCCCACCCCGACATCCAGGTCAATGTGGACAAGTATGACAACGACAGTGACAACAACAACATCGAGGAAGAGTTGGCCAAACATGCGTCGAGTAAGGGCTATGTCTATACGGATGTACTGGACATACATGCGGAACGTTTGGATAATTATTCGGAAAAATTGCGTGCATTTTATACGGAACACTTGCACTCGGATGATGAGGTTAGGCTAGTATTGGTCGGATCGGCCTATTTCGATGTACGCGACATCGATAATAGGTGGGTGCGTATACATGTTAGACGTGGCGATCAGCTAAACTTGTTGGCCGGAACCTACCATCGATTTACTCTGGATGTCGACAATTATGTCAAATTGTTTCGGCTGTTCGGCTCGAAACCCGATTGGTCGTCGTTTAATAGGCCGGCCGATGAACATCCGGCCCGAGTCGACTACATGAGCCGTGCGGTTAAAGGGTTTTAATAATAATAATAATAATATTGATTTTTAAAAATACAAACAATATTATGATATTATTATTATTGCTTTWATTTGTTAAAATTGTTTTAGTTATAAAAATAAATTTGAAAACATTTTTGAAATATATTATATAATTATGTTTATACWGTATATTATTTAACTAATGTTTAAGTTAGTGTTTTTAGATTTAATTCAATTAATTAATTAATAATTTCTAAATATATTTAATTTTTTAAGTATAGATAAATACTTAAATACAATGTTATATATTAATAATTTTTAAAAATATAATTTAAAATAATTTTTTATGTTAATATTTATTTTAGTCATTATAATTAAATCATAATTTTTATTTTTTGTATACTTAGTTTAAAGTATTAAACAGTAATTTATTATTATTATTATTACTATTACAGTGTAGTTAACATTTTCAGCAATACTTATAAATTACAATAGCATTGCACTCTAGTGACTGATTAACTTATTATTATTGAATGTTAAAAATTTTTACTGTATATACTTTAGTTTAATTATTATATATATATTTTTAAAAATAATAATAATATTTTAATTTGTGAAAATAAAATATGGCTTTTTAAAAAAATTAAAAATTATCAAAAATCAAGTTATATATTTTTTAAATAAATATATTATTACCAATAATTTTAGAATAAGATTAATATATTACTTAAATAAAAATAGATAAAAAAATTTAAAATTTTGTTTTAAAAAAACATCCAATTATTTCAAGTAATTAACTACAAAATATCAATATATAAAAGGAAAATAGATATAWATATATATCATATGATTTTTAAAAAATTCATGTTTTTTGTAACAAACTTTGTTTGTCTTTAAGTAAAAATCCATTACTTTTTTCAGTTTTTTTTGTGTATGTATTCTTAGTAATCATTGAATGATATTTTTGTTTCACTTTTTTTCTTAARWTTGAAACAAACAGTGAATTTCAATCACTGTTTTATTTTTGCTATTTATTTTTAACTCAAAAAATATTTYAATAGTATATAAGTATGATGTGTATGTGTATGTGTATGTGTATGTGTATGTGTATGTGTATGTGTATGTGTATGTGTATGTGTATGTGTATGTGTATGTGTATGTGTATGTGTATGTGTATGTGTATGTGTATGTGTATGTGTATGTGTATGTGTATGTGTATGTGTATGTGTATGTGTATGTGTATGTGTATGTGTATGTGTATGTGTATGTGTATGTGTATGTGTATGTGTATGTGTATGTGTATGTGTATGTGTATGTGTATGTGTATGTGTATGTGTATGTGTATGTGTATGTGTATGTGTATGTGTATGTGTATGTGTATGTGTATGTGTATGTGTATGTGTATGTGTTTTAATATATTCTCGGTATTTYYATTATGAATAAATAAAACATTTTTTATATAATCGTTTATTAACATTTCTAATTAACAAAATATTTAAATTATTTATCATTATATAATCATTAAAATCTAATTTGTTTAACATATTTTTAAAAAATAAAATAAATATTTTTCAATAAKTTTTAGATTTACAAAATCAACAACAACAAAAMTACAGTAATATGTATATTATTACTAAACATGATTGTATTACACACACACACACAAATAGCTATCTTTAATGTAGTGTATATATAATTTATATGTTAATTATGTGTTAAAATAGATTTTATTTTTGCTCTCAATTTTTTTTTATTAACGAGAGTCAAGTATTTTTTTTTTGTCAAAATAAAGGGTTAACCATATTATGTAATACTAATAATAGTACTAAAGTTATAAGTTTGAAAAAAAGTCAAAACTTAATTTTACAAAATTTTTTACAAATTATATATATATATATTAAAGTTTATTACAGTGTTTATTATTATTACAAATAATACTGTATTTATTTATTTATTTTAAAAAAGGGATTAATTTGTAAGTAAATAGATATTATTATTTTAGTTTATTAATAAGTTATAAGTTATAACAATTTAATGTAGCATTTTACATGTACAATATACTGTATATACATGTATAATATATTGTTTATTTTAACTGCGATTAATATTTGATAATCTTTATATAATATATATATATATATATATATATATATATATATTAATYTTATTAATACTATACSATGATTTTGATGCTGGTTAGCAACAACACCAACAACAGTAAAAATATAATATTAAATTAAATATTAAATATAATTATCTCTATGTACTGTACTTTTCTATACTGTTTATCAAAAAAATTGTTCAATTAATATATAAAAATATAAAGTACATATATCTACAATATATATATATATATATATATAATATCATATCATTTATTGAAATATATCTGGTATTTATATAAAGTTTATTATACTCTAAACACATTTATTTTTTGTGGAGATAATACTAATAAAATTTTATACAACAACAACAATAATAACAACAACAAAAAAATCAAATATCTTATCATTGATTGAATATAATAAATTAATTAATGTTTAAAAACTAATGCTTAATTTATTATTATTATTATTATTATTATTATTATATATCTATCATTTTTTTTGACTGTCAATCTAAACAACACAAAGTGCTTTTTGGGCACATCTTATCACAAAATTATTTGCTAACAAATACACAAAAAAAAATTATTAATAATTATTTTTTAGATACTATATTAAATTATAAATATTATTAATTTTTATTTGCAAAAAAAAGGTCATCAACAAAAATAGTTATCAATTTTAGTTTAGCAGCAAGCAACACTTAMAGTATTATTATTATTATTATTATCACTTTTATGTGTATTATAGTYTAATAATAATAATAATACTAATAATAAAGTTTATTGTTTGCCATAAATTTTTAAAATCTATTTTTAATATCATTTTGTACTTTATAATAATAATAATAAAGTACTACTAAATAATAATAGCATGAATTATATAGTTATAATGTTAATCAGTTAATAATAATAATATATTTTATTTTATTTGTTTAAGTGTTTTATATTAAAAAAAWTTATGATTTGAAAATAAATCTATATATATATATATATATATATATTAATATAGTAATTGCGTGAACTGTTTAACAGGTATAATTATATTTATTTATTTTTTATTAAATAAAAATAATTTTTTAAATTATTATATCATTTATTGATTGTAGACTAACTTTTTATTTTAATCAGATTTAATTTCAATTAATTTTTTTATTGAAATAAAATGCAAATCAATAGAATTTTCTATAAATGATTAGATATTTTTTTAATATAAACAAGATTTCAATTAATATGAATTTCAAAAATTGTACTTGTCTAAATTATCAATCAGTTATTATTTAATATATCAAAATTTCATATTTACTTATAAATTTTAATATTATTTGTTTATTAAATAAATTATTTGTATTGATAATTACAAATATTTAATATATATATATATTAATATAGTATTTACAAGTAATTTAATAYATAAGTTAAATTTTAATATAACAAAAATAATAATAATTAAATTTAAGTGYAAACTAAGTATATTTTCAGTAAAATAATTATAATTAAATATAAATTACTTTTATATCTATACTGTATATACAGTACTAATTAATTATATATATAATTATATACTTTTTAGTAAAATAGTAAAAATAATTATTTAAAAAAAAACTAAAACTATAATTAAATAATGTAAATTTTAAATTTAAAAAAAAATCTATCAAGGTTATTTACATTGTATCAGACATTAGTCATATACGTCTTATATAATTGCAGACAATATTATTATTATTATTATTAATAATCATGTGATTAAAAACWWGAAAATAAATTTCATTACATTGCATTATTTTATTAAAAAAAATAATATTTTATTTACTGTAAACAGCATTAATGTTTAGATTAAATTTATTTAATTAAAAATCAAACAAAAATTATAAAAATATTATTTTTTGTACCTAAATGTTGTTTAATTTAATTATTGTGTGTATAACACATGTACTTAAATATACATAAATTTTTAAGTAACTTTCTATAAAAATGAGTGTACAATTATATAAAATATTTACAKTATAAATACTAAATAATATTTATTTTTWWAAAATTATTTATTTATTATCAATCAGTGCACTTTTATTATATATATGATATATCGTAATAATATTTTAAACCAGTATTTTATTAGTTATTTTGTGCCAAAATCTGATTTTTTTTTGTTGTGTAAAAAAACTACTAAAATCTWGTAGTTTTTTAATATTATTTTTTTAATAAGTGAAAGTTTGGTTGATTTTTTGTAATGTATTTTTTTATTTTTATTAGAAATTTTTTTTACCTAAACTTTATACTTAATAACTAATTATTTATTTATATACATATATATATAAAAAATTATGTATATAAAATATTTTATAATTTTATTTTATAACTTAATATAATATTATTTTTAAAAATCTTTATTGAATTAAATTATTTTTTTTTTGATGTAAAAATTACTTTCAATTTAAATTAATTTTATTATAAATTTTTTTAATAATACAGTACTTTATAATACTTGTTATATTTATAAATAATTTTATTTAAAATACATCTATTTATAAACAACATTGAACTCCAAGGATAACCAAAAAAATTAATGTTACAGTTTTGAAGTAAAAATTTGTTTTTATTAGCTCATTGTGTTACATATTGTATGTATGTTTTTACTAAATGTGAATTAAATTTAATTAATTATATACTGTATATATAAAATTCACTATTAAATTATATAATATATTAGGCAATAATTTATTTATTATTATTATTACGCTAACTAAATGTATTACATTATATTGTAATTGTAGTAAATATTTTTTATTTTTAAATTATATCTAATAGAAAAATGTTAGAATTTTTTTCCGAAATTAAATTTTACTAAATTAATGATTTTAAATGTTTTCAATTTTACTTTATATGTTATATATATATAATATTTAACTGTATATCTGATTTAAGTGRTAAACAACAACAATATCATAACTTTAGTTAATAGCATTAATAATAAAAATTTTTATAAAAATATTAATTATAACTGAGTTAAAAAAAAATTTCCCATTTATAGGGTGACTACATATCAATAATAATTATAATAATAATAATAACCTCCCGGTTCTCATCCAAAAAAAAAAAAATCAATAACTAGTCTCTGAAAAAATCAAAAACAAATAACTGACACACAAATGGCTGAGGCATCGGAACCGCCCGAAAGCGACATATCTTCAGGTGACGACTGGGACTATAGATCCCGTTCCTCCAGTGATACCTCGACAAACAATATACACCATCGAAATCTACTGTTTACTACTGGCCGTCAGTTAAGCTGCGATCAGGACACGGGTAGTCTAGATTTGTCTTATTTGAATCTGGATACCAGTTCACTGGGCGCCAACATTTCACAATTTGCCGACAATACCAATAATATGGGTTCCCAGTTGTCAACTGTCAACATGAGCGGCAATCGACTAATGGAAATACCCTATCAGTTATCAATGTTTACTAATCTACAAATGTTGGACTTATCCCATAACCAAYTGGCCGTCCTATGCGACAGTATTTGCCAACTGAATCAATTGCGTACATTGATCTGCGCTAACAATCAATTGGACGACAATAGTCTACCAAAAGATTTTGGCCAAACTTTTGGCCAAACATTACGGGTGCTATCGTTGGGCGGCAATTTGGTTAGTATTTTGTGAAAACTATTTTTATTTTTTTTTATTTTAATATAATATAATATAAAGAAATTTAATTTAATATAATGCAATATATTGCATACAAAAAAATTGACATTAAATATGATATATATAAATATTATATATAAAATTTTTATGTGTCGTGTATGTGTGTGTGTTAAGCAAATAATAAAATTGAGGTCATTTTATTTGTATAAATTACAATATCATCATTACTACTGTAGTTATATAATATTGTGTGTGTGTGTGTGTGTGTGTGTGTGTGTGTGTGTGTGTGTGTGTGTGTGTGTGTGTTTATGTATGTGTGTCTTATTTTTTTATAACATTACTATACGATATCATATAAAAATGTGTCATCAATACTAACAAATATATTATACTGTATATCATATTAAACCACACAATTAATTATTTATTCATACAGTACTAATATTCTAYATATACTGTAATAATATGCAATATAAATGATGTAATTATCATATAAATTGAAAATAATAAATTAGTAGATAATAAAAAAAAATTTTTTTTTTTGACTAAATATACAAATATGATATAACTTATAAATAACTATATCCTATATATATATATATATATATATATATACACACAAACATAAATTATATTTATGATATACAGTACTAACAGAATATTCTCTATTATTATTTTCATTACTATAATTAATATTTTGTAATTATTTTATTTTTAATGCAAAACAAAATATAGTTCAAAACAATACCGCCGCAAATCCTTGAGCTCCGGGCACTTAAATCACTGTATTTAGGCAGCAATGCCATCGAGACTGTGCCGCGCGATATCTGCCGATTGGATTCACTGCGGCTCCTGTATCTCGGCGGCAATCGACTGGAAGAACTGCCCGAAGAGGTCGGCCGTCTGCAGCACTTGGAGTCGCTATCGTTGTGCGAGAATCGACTGAAATCGTTGCCATCGACAATAGCGCAGTTAAAATCGTTGCGGTCGCTGGCATTGCATCGCAATCAGTTRACAACATTGCCACCGGATATTGTTAAGCTYCGGTATCTGATGGAACTGTCGCTTAGGAATAATCCACTGGTTATGCGATTCATTCGGGATATGATGTAAATRAAATCAACATTTTATTTTTGAATATCTATWTGGAAAGGGATGAGAGGGGACGGGAGTGAGTGAGTGAGGAAGGGATAGGGAGAGGAAATGAGTGTTACMTACTTTTTGTTTGWTTGATTGATTAATAGTTAAGGAAAGTTATCTTTAAAAATCAAATCTGTATTTTTTACTTGCATTCAAGGTTTGAGGTGCCATCGCTTATGGAGCTATCGGGCAGGGCTATCAAACTGAATAAATTGAACTACAATTTAGATGAACTACCTAATTGTTTGGTCAGCTATCTGAGCAGTGCGCACCGGTGTGTTAATCCAAAATGTAAAGGTATGTTCACCAAAAACCAAAAAAAAAAATGGGTAGACACAACAAAACAAAAAATTATCTAGCTTATTTTTTTTATAATACAAACAAATAGGCGTCTATTTTGACTCCCGTGTCGAACATATAAAGTTTGTCGACTTTTGCGGCTCCTATAGGGTACCATTGTTACAGTACCTGTGCTCACCCCAGTGCTCATCCATACATCAATCATCGCCGCTAATGAATCGTTTGTACAGTTCGGACGAAAATAATTCGGACGAAGAGTCCGTCGCCAATAATCCGGCAGCCGATGAAATGATTACCGAATTCAGACTCAAACGTGTACTGTTAGGTTAAAGGGAAGGGTGTGGCGAACCGGGAGGTGTGGACCGGGAGACCGGGCACACCCTACCCCCTACCACACCCTAGATATACTCTTATCAGTGATATATTGATATAAACTATTGTCAAAAAAATAATTTTTTTTATATTCAAAATAAATATATATATGATTCTTGAAAATATAAATAAARTTTTTTTTTTTGAATAACAATTATCATAAAATAGATGTCAGAAAATGTTATCAAATTAAAAATAAATAAATAAATTTACACTAATTTACAGAATATTTTTTTTTAAATATGATTAATATTTTTTAATTTTTAATATATTAATTTTTAAAAAAAATTAACTTCTATAACTAAATAATTATAAATTATTTTTGCTATAAATACAAATAATTAATTTTTTAAAAATAAATTAACAAGTTCCTTATTTTAATTAATAGACTAAAATATTTTTTAATAATATATTTAAAAAAAAATTAAATATATATATATATAAATAAATTAAATATTTGTTTAAAAATATAAATATTAAAAAACTATCTAAAAAATCTAGAGTCTAATAATTAGTAATAAACTAATTTAACAGCTAGGTAATAATTATAATAAAAATTTAAAAAAAAAAACATTTTTTATTTATGTACAAAATAATACACTAGTAAATTTATATTATAATAGCACCGTTATAAATTTAGGCGCTAAAATAAAAACTAACTTAAAATCAATTACGTTTAAACAATTATATATTCAATTAATTTTTATAGCTTTAAATTGTTTTGACGTTATTTATTTTTATAAAAAATTGCATCAACTGTATATAAGTGTGTATAATAAATGAAAACTAGAAATAGATTTTATTTTAATGTATTATTATTATTATTATCCAATCCAATAATAATCATCAATAATAATGAAATATTATATTATATTACAAAAATAATATTTAACCAAAAATTTTAATTTGTCTTAGTTTTTAAAAAAAAAAAATCATATCTAATAAAAAAATTTATAGAGTTATAAACAAAATAGTTAAACAAATACATATTAATATGTATTTGTTTAACTATTTTGTTTATAACCCTATAAATTTTTTAGTAAATATGATTTTTTTTTTAAATTAAATCAAATTAAATTTATTTTTAAATATTATTTTTTTTTAAATAAATATATTAAATATTTTATATAATATATTATAATAATAATAATAAATATCCGAACCGTAAAATCCCGAAACCGAAACCGTTTTACGTGTTTTACTCTCTACTCTATTATAACATATAAACTGTAAACACATTATTAATATAATACACAGTTGTTAGCGTTGAATACAATAATTATATAAATAAAAAACAATTAGTTATAAAAACAATAGTAATGTTTAAACACATTGTTTTGTATTTACTATTAGTTTATTATTAATTAATTGATTGATTGCTATCACGGGTTTTGATTGTTGACCACTACTACTACTACTACTAGTTAGGCCGCGCGGCTTTCCCGCGATTGCTGACCACCAATCAGATTGTAGAGAGACATCAGTGTCTGACAACTACCTAATCGATGGCCCGATTTTCCGACTCTGAATCATCTGATTCAGAATCGGACGACAACGGAAACTTTAAGCGACGGTCGCACCGATTGGACGACGACGACGATGATGATGATGACGCCGACGATAATTACTATGGCCTTCCCGCTGAACCGACACGGATGGACATTGTCGATGACAATGATTATGGAGGAGGAGGTCCAGAACCCGGCGAATTGTCCGATGATAACGACATTGTCGCCGCCACTGCCACCACTACCACCGTCGCCGCCGCCTCAGCTAACAACCACATCGGTGTTAGCGGACAGTTAGCGTCCATTGATAATGCACTGGCGTCACGATTAAAGCCACCGCCGCAGCCACAGCCAAGAGATCCGCGATTGATGCGCGCATCTGCGGCAGTGTCGTCGTCGTCGTTGACCACAAATGTTGAACTGGCACGCGATCCACGCAAACGGTCGACGATTGTAGCTGTCGTTGATGGTGACGGCGGCGGCGGCAACATTCACAATAAAGTGGCCGCTGATGAACCTCTAGGCGATGATCGTAATGATGATGATATCAATGACAGGACTGCCGCCGCCGCCGATGATGATAAAGAAACCGAAGAAGGTTTGTCTGTTTTATTATTAAAAACCAATTGTGTGTTTTGATTAATCGGTAATTTATTTGTTTTTTGTTTCTTTAACAGAAAGATTTGCCAAACGACTGAAAAAGTTTGAAAGACTCGACACCAACACAACCATCGGCGGCGGTGGCGGAGATATCGCCGATAACTACAAGTTGTCGTCGGTTTCCAAACAGCCGCTTCGCGAACGAGTACGCAAACTGTTGAACGAAAGGAAACCAATGATGGCATTCAAAGAGATTAAAGACGAAATTTCGATTACAGATATACCGAAATTTAAGGACACATTCGTCCATATTGTTAAAGACTGGTTTCCGGCCATTATTGACGATGCATTGGATCCGCGCAGTGTATTCATTGATACCAATCATGTAAATCAATTTCAGAATCTCCTTAAAGACATTTTCGGACTCAAAGTCAAACAAAAGGATGTCTGGGAGGCCGTCATCTTAGGAATCGATAAGTTTATTATCGAATCGCGCATCAGTTCTGTGGTAATGATAATAATTTTTTTTTTAAATTAATTTTATCGGTAATTGTTTTAAATTTATTTATTTGGTTCTCTCTCTCTCTCTYTCTTTTATTTAATAGCCACTATTGCTGACCAAACTTCGGTGGGTATTAGTACGCGACATACGCGAGTATCTTATCTCCGAAGACATACGTATCAGTATTAAAGCGTCCAATGTTTTAGTTGATCATCGCATCCAATTGCAGGCCAAACGTGAGGC